GAGTGTGTAGAGTTTCGAGCTCGTCAAAGATTTTCATCGCCTCTTGGAGTTTCCCCTCTGTGCGAACTTGGTCAGAATCGAGGTCCATGAAACGAGATCGCGCTGAAAATCCTTGCTGCGTTTTCTAAATCACCGTTTTGACCATACATAACCAGGATTGCGTTCCAAGCAACGATGTCTCGCTGTGGCATTGTTTCAAACAAATGCTTCGCTTCTTCCACTTCTCCGTGGTTTGCGAAAGCGATCAGAATCGACGTCCACGACAGTAGATCTTTGTGAGGAACACTCTCAAAAACCTCCCGTGCAAAATCCATGAAACCAAACTGCGCATATCCACAAATCAGTGAGCTCATAGCCACGGAGCTGTGCTCCGGCATCTCGTCAAACACTAGTTTTGCTCTTTCCGGATTTCCTCTATCGAAATTGGCAGCTAGAACAGCGTTCCACGACGACAAACTCGACTGCGGCATTTTTTCTACCATCTTCTCAACTCTCTCAAAGTTTCCCTTTTGGCTGTAAGCCGAGATCATCGAGTTCCACGACACGATATTCGTGAAAGGCATTCTCTGGAAAAAGAACTCGGCTTCTTTGATATTTCCAGCTTGAGCATACGCGCTTACCATGCACGTCCATGAAACCAGGTCACGGTGCTCCATCTTCTCAAAAAGTTCCCGAGCTTTTCCAATGTGGCCATTCTGAGCATAGACCAAAAGCATGTTGTTCCACGACACCATGTCATACTGAGGCATAGTATCAAAAAAGCATTTGCCACCTTTAACATCTCCAACCTGAGAAAACGCAGTTAACATAGCGTTGCAAAACTCGCTCGTAGAAAAGCTTTCTAGATCGGCTCTTCCTTCTTTTTGGGGGGCTCGTAATTGTTCTCGATGGAACGAAGGACACTGTGGTGGCAATCCATCGCCTTTAGCACGTCGTCCACATCAAATTTTCCAATCACCACCAGGCCTGACGACTCCGATTCCACCTTATCGACCCCTGTTGGGAAAACCGCACCAGAGATTTCATGGAATCAGGGCCGCGATCCAATGCAAAGATTGTGCTATACCTTTGATCTTCTTGAGCGCGTCAGTCTTCCCCTGCAGCTTTCACAAGTTGAGAGTGTCGCCTTCTTCATGCTTACAAGGAAAGGAAACTGGATCGAGAAAACTAGTTGCTCGCTCAAGATGTTTGCTTGAAGCTTGCCAGAAAATCGAGAAATACGCTGCGAGATGCCTTGCTGGTCACGTTTGCGGTTTTTATAGCTTGATTCTACGGTATAGGCTTCGTAGGACGACGCGTCACCACCAAATTCCTCGCGATTTCAGCGAATAGTCAAAGACGACATAATGCAGAAGAAAATTCCACACGTATTGATCCGCGGTGTTGCAACTTTAACTGTCTATTCTTCTTATGAGAGACCGATTCATCAAAGCCCGCAAAAGGTTGTCGCGTTTGAACCCAGAACTGAATTTCCAAGTTGAGAAGCAAATCATACAGCAGCAAGCGTTCGGGCATGGGTGATGCCCTACTCAAAGTGGTCGTTGCCACTACTCCAGCACATCGCGTGGCACCGTGGGAAAGCGAAGAGACGAACTTCATGATCAGAGACTGTTCCTTCTTCTCCTCTCTCTGATTCCACTTCACCACCTCTGCGTTTCCAAAAAGTTAATCCATCAGTGTGGAGTTCTGAGATTTTTCCTACTTTACCTTTTTTTCAACTTGAATCTTCCATTAATTCCCGCAAGGTGATATAGACATTGAACAAAAGGTTGTTCTTATCTTGGGCCCCTTTGTTCTCTCTCTCTCTCTCTCCCTTGCTCTGAGATTCTTCCTGTCACGGAATCTAGAAGTATAGCCTTGACTACGGCGACGATCATTGACGTGCACCGGCATTTGTGCTGTGCATTCATAGAAAGATCTAACTTTTGAAAACCTTACATCAGTTATGATTCTGACAATTAAATGCTCTGTCAAACTCATTGCTCTTATAGATCTGAAACTCTTGAAATTATTTCATACACACGCTACCTCCCTTGTTCTTGCAGATCCATCCATCCCTTGCAATTGGAAGAACAAATTAGCACTTGCAATTGTAGTGATTGTAGTTGTGGGCGTAAACATACAAAACGCTACCACCATCCTTCTTCTCTTCCTTCTTCTCTTCCTTCTTCTTTGGGGGCTCGTAATTGTTCTCGATGGAACGAAGAACACTGTGGTGGCAATTCATCGCCTTGACCACGTCGTCCACATCAAATTTGCCGATCACTACCAGGCCTGACGTCTCCGATTCCACCTTATCAACCCCTGTTGTTCAAAAACAGAAAAATCCACGAGATCAGCTCTCGAATTTCCAACCCAAAGTTTGTACATACCTTTGATCTTCTTAAGCGCATCAGTCTTTCCCTTGCAGCTCCCACAAGTTGAGAGTGTCACCTTCTTCATGCTTGCAAAAAGAGGGAAAATGGATCGAGATTTTTTCTTGAAACTTTGCTGAGACTTTGCCGCAACACCGAAGAACACGCTGCGAGATGCCTTGCTGCTCACGTTCGAACTTTGTGGCGGTTTTTATAGCTACCGCTAAGCTAAATTGCCAAAGTGGAAAACCACTTCAATGCTTCTCTCTTGCATTGTGAAGAAAGTTTCCACACGTCTGGATCACAGTTTGAGGCGCAGACTGGACTTTCACATAGGCTACCCTTTCTCGTGCCTCACATTTGATGACTTTGACTCGATTTTTCTCAAGGGAAACTTCCTTCACGTTTTGAAATCGCTGATAAAACCCATGAATTCATGAATTCCAAATAGCTGGGAAGAAGCGTCCTTGACTTAAAACTTTTACCCAGAAGGACGCGACGTTAATTCAAGCTAGCCATCAACTTTGTCGAACATATACCTAGACTGCAAGTTTGTCCTCCGCGGCAGGAACAAAACAACAAGTTAAACTTCAGGTGGATCACGCAGAACGTTTGCTAGCAAGATGTGAGCAGCTCCATTCCTGGAATCCAAATCCAAGACGCTCTTTGCGACAAGACCGGCACTGTGACAAATATGATCATCACTCATCCGGCCCATCCTACACGCCGAAAGAAAAGCCACCAGATTTACAGCATCTGGTTTAAATGGCATCGTCGCCAAGAGCTCTCTCGCATCTTCCAGATACGAGGCTCTGGCGAGCAAATCCACCATGCAACAGTAGTGCTGCTTCACAGGCTCTATTCCAAAGTCGTGTCTCATGGACAGAAAGTACTCCTTGGCGAGAGCAAGCTTTCCTTTGTGGCTGCAAGCGATGAGAACTCCCACGAAACAAACCTGGTCAGGAGTGTGTAGAGTTTCGAGCTCGTCGAAGATTTTCATCGCCTCTTGGAGTTTTCCCCTCTGTCCGAACTTGGTCAGAATCGAGGTCCATGAAACGAGATCGCGCTCGGGCATAGAGCTGAAAATCCTTGCTGCGTTTTCTAAATCACCGTTTTGACCATACATAACCAGGATTGCGTTCCAAGCAACGATGTCTCGCTGTGGCATTGTTTCAAACAAATGCTTCGCTTCTTCCACTTCTCCGTGGTTTGCGAAAGCGATCAGCATCGACGTACACGACAGTAGATCTTTGTGAGGAACACTCTCAAAAACCTCCCGTGCAAAATCCATGAAACCAAACTGCGCATATCCACAAATCAGTGAGCTCATAGCCACGGAGTTGTGCTCCGGCATCTCGTCAAACACTAGTTTTGCTCCTTCCGGATTTCCTCTATCGAAATTGGCAGCTAGAACAGCGTTCCACGACGACAAACTCGACTGCGGCATTTTTTCTACCATCTTCTCAACTCTCTCAAAGTTTCCCTTTTGGCTGTAAGCCGAGATCATCGAGTTCCACGACACAATATTCGTGAAAGGCATTCTCTGGAAAAAGAACTCGGCTTCTTTGATATTTCCAGCTTGAGCATACGCGCTTACCATGCACGTCCATGAAACCAGGTCACGGTGCTCCATCTTCTCAAAAAGTTCTCGAGCTTTTCCAATGTGGCCATTCTGAGCATAGACCAAAAGCATGTTGTTCCACGACACCATGTCATGCTGAGTGTAACGTATCAAGGAAGCATTTGCCACCT